GGCATTCAAAAAATCGTCGAACGATTTTTTTCTAAATGAAGTCACTGAAAGATGTATCTTTTACAAATATTCTTTTAAGGCAGTCAAATGAAAATAAGTACGCTCACAACTAACAGCACACCGACAAGGAATAACACGGAAGTCAAGCTTGAATAATGACAAGCAGCCTTGAGCGAAAATAGTTGTGAGAGTACTTATTTTTATTTTTAAAGTTGAAAACAACCCAATTGACATTTACTCGGGCTATTTTCATCACGGAATATATTACAACAATTAAAAATATTCATTTTGATTCACAACGGAACAAGACTTCGTTAGAATATTTTGCCTAGTTCATAATAGGTAGCCAAGAATTGCTCCAAGTCCACCTCTCTTGTCTCCCGAGGAGTTTTCTTTATTGGAGCGAAGTCTATAAGTAGCCCTAGTAAACTTTTGTGACTGGTGATACCCCCAACCGAGTACCTAGTCTAGACGCCACTTAGGTAACAAGACACCCTCTTGCTGGTTTTCAATCATTCCCAAAGCAGTGAAATAACAAAAGACACGGTGGTCATTCTAGTTGATATAATAAAATAGTTGTCATCGATAATCCTTTGTAAATCACACAAAGCACACAAGAGTTGGGATCTTACAGTTTTTAATCACTTGAATACAATTTCCAAATTATTTCTCTTATTGATAAATATTTGAATAAAGTTAATACATAAAGGGGGGCATAAAATATAAATCCTAACTTTTCACATCATCATCAACTGAATAATGATAATAATTATTAGTAGTATTTGTATAATTAATGTTATAAGTATTATTAGTGTTGTTATTGTTACTGTTGCTGTTGCTTTTGTTGTTGCTGTTATTATCATTATTATTATTATTATTATTATTATTATTATCATGACAATGACAATGACAATATTAATAACATTATTATTTTTATAATATTAATAATATTATAATAATTTTATTAAAGATTCTTAAAAACATACTTACAATAATAGAAATCAGTTTCAAAAATATCTATGTACATTAACAAATTTCACCTTTCATCGCTTGATGAAACGTCGGCTAATTTGAGACTTTCAATGCTTCGTTGACCTTCTGCATCCATCTTTGAAGGTGAATGATTTCTATGAAGAGGCCAAGTTTTGGTTCTCCAAACACGAGAACTTAATTAACGTATTATTCCTTTAAACATGGAATCTTTCTGGCTTCAAATTAAGAACGAAAATCCAAATATTTGTCAAACGAGCCATAACTCTTCGAGAATATAAGTTAGTGAATAATTTGTAAGAGGAGACCAAGTATTGGTTTTTAAAAAACGAGAACGTAACGTATTAATATTCGTCTTAATATGGTTAATGGCATCTTTTTGGCTTCAAAGTTAAGCACGAAAATCCAAATATTTTCGGCAAACGAGAGGTTTGACTCTTCGAGAATATAGTTTAGTTTGGATGTTCCCTGCTAGCAGAGCCTATTTTCCTTTTGTTTTGGAGCTCATGGATTAGTAGTTTCTAGAATTTCAAAAGGGATTTGACATGTGTCACTCGCGCGCTAGAACTACTTTCATCACGGACCACGTGAGCATACTTCCTACGTATCGATCACTAGAGCAGTTTTCGTATGACTGTCGAAAAGCTCGTCGTGACACGGCAAGGGAATCGCCCGACCTATCATATTGCTCGAGAGTTTAATCTCTCTTATGCCTTCATTTTACATTAGCCCCCACCAGTTGCAATCAGTGCATTAGCTATCATTACATTGCCCACAGCATGAAACAGATTACAATTAATAAAGTGTGCAGTGGTGGTGAGTAGTATAAACCTTGGAGTTAAGTTGATTTCTCGACTTAAAAATACCCCTTCCGATACTAAGACGAAAATAACACGATAACTCAATGACACTACGAAATTATCACAATAATATAACGAAACTTTATACGACGCTTCATAAGGGACGAACAAATAATTCAATTTATTTTTTGCTTTTGCCCCCCCCCCCCCCCCCCCCNCCCCCCCCCCCCCCATCACTTTTCTAATGCTTCGTTCCTAAAAGAGGAAGCCTGAGTACGAACTTTCCAAATATGGCAAACGGTGGTAAATTCGAAAATAGAACAAGAAACAAAATGGCGGTAGCTCAGTTAACACGAAAAAGGCTCCAAAAAGCATCCTTTTTTTAGTTTCCGTAACCAAAATGCCTCGTAAGGCTGGGTTAATCAAAACTTATGGCCGTCATAAGTTCAGAACGGTGAGAACAGCGCCTTGGGTTTCTCCAGAGGATGTTTTTCGTTCACCAGTTTCGAAGAAAGAAAAAAGCTTTGAAACTCCAACGACTATTCGGTAAGACGTAAATTTAGTGCAAAACGATTTTATTATTACGTTTCATTACCAGTTTAGTTCTCTTAACAGTCCTAAGAGTATACTGTAGCCAATAAATCTTTATTTTTAGTGTTATAAACAACAAGCTTAACAAAATGATAAAAACGTCTAGATAAGATTATAGTAAGCTTATACTGTAAGTTTAACTCTAACGAGGCGGTCTTACAGTTAAAAAATTCAGTAAATTTTCAATATACTTTTATTTATCATCTATGAATTTTAAAAAAACAATCAAGTTTTAATGTAAGTTACAAATTGCTTGCTTTTAATCATTCCAAAGAGAATGAGATAACAAAAGACAAGGCGGCCATGTTGGATGATATAACGAAAGAGACTAAGACTAAGTCTTTTGTTAAAATGCATATGACACGAAAAAAAATTAATGTTAAAAATATGTATTTTATTGGCATTAGTAAGAATATCACAGTTAAATTCGTTTTAAAAACGTATTTCTCTAGAAATTCAAGAAAACTTAGCACAAGTTGTGACGTCATTTTGTTTACAAGCCTCCAGTTTTAGTTCCAAATACACGAAATATGTTTGAATGTAGAATCTTAATTTCAGGTAGTACAGTTTTCAGTTTCCCAACATTTGGAGAGTACTACGTAAGCTATCAAATGAAGCGGAATGGAATATGCCTTTTGTCGTTATTTTATACGAATTACAATTTATATTAATTTTAGTGCATTTAATACTACCCAATCTAGAGTACGTGTCAACAAAATGACGTCACAAATTGGGCTTAATTTTCTCACATATCTCAAGAAATAAGCTTTAGGAACAAATTTCATTACGATATATTATTACTAACAAACTATACATTTTAAACGATGAAATGTTTTCATGTCATATACACTTTAAATTAAACCAACATGACATCTGTGAAAACCATCAATTACTAAATTTTAACATTTATAAAATTCCTTTCTTTCTTTCAGAAAAACTGCTATAACAACCTTTACAAATCTTCCCAAATCACACTGGAATATTCCAAAACACAAAATCCCCTCAAATGATGACAAAGAAAATGCCCCAATAAATGAACAGAATAAAGAAGGGAAGATCATTTCAAATATTTCAAAAAAGAACTCTCATTCCACGCCAACTATCCTGCAACAAAAGCATGCCTCAGCAGGGTTCTTTTCAAGCCTATCGACCTCTTCACCAGAGGATTTGAGTGTAGATGAAGAATCCTATGTTATTCTTCAGAAACATTCAAGCAATGCACCAAAATCTTTCATTCCTGAAACTCCCGAATTGATTACAGTCAATCAAGAAAATGGTACAAATACTCCTTCTGAAGAATATTCCAGTTATTTTTACCAAAATTCCAAGTTGTCTCGAAAGAGCTTAACCAATTCAAGTATAAAGTTAAGCAAAAGCAGTATTTTAAAGACTGAAAGCAGTGTGTCTCCACTTTATTCGTCCTTTGGGTCTAATACGTGTTTATCTTCTGCCAAAAAACCATTACGAGCTTCACAAGTAACAAGTAATAGTTTTAGCAGTGATCCATCTTGTTCGACTAGTACTCCAATAATCAGAGCTAACTCGCAGAACTCTCAGCTAGTGACTCTAAGAGGCCAAAAAAAGCAACAATATTTTTCCAATCCAAACAGTGATTTTTCACTCTCAGACTGTCAGGTCTTTGTGCAGCCAATGAAACTCACTCCAGAACAGTACCAAGCAGCTAGATTATCCCTTGAGAATCATAATAATACATCAACAAGCAGTTATTTTACTGTTTATTCAACCAAGGGGTCTCCTGAATCTGATCTGTCGAAAATCAGTGATGCACCAAATTTTGAAAGTGAAATTCAAGAAACTAAAAAAAATCCAAGAATTTCTTCAAGTAGTGGAAGCACAAATGTAATGGTTAGAGATTGTGTAGTTTCATTAGAAAAATTAAAACTTTCTCCTTTGATTGGACAAGAGGGAAGAAAACGACCAATTGGGACTTTCAGTGTTTCATGCAACAGTAGCTATGCTAGCGCTTCATCAGATGACCTGTTCATGCCTTCAACTCCACCCAGAAAACAAGCTTCACGCATGTCTTTTGTGGTAAGAAACAATTAACTTACCATATTTCTTAACTGAGTTTATATATTTGTTGTTTAGTTTTAACAGGGGCTGACGGTTTATTCACCATTTTCCATGCATCAGTTTTCTGCAAGGTTGAAATTTGAATATTAGTCCTTTGAAACTACCTTAGCTTGTAGCTTCAAGTGAATGCTTTTTGTATGACCAGTGAAGCAATGTATGGACATTGGTGATTGCATTAAAAAAAAAGGTTTGGGAAGACAAGGGAGATGGGTTTCAAATAATATGCACTCTAGCAATTAACACAGCTATTAGATTATAAGGCTGAAAATGTTGATCTGCAATTATATGTGCAAGCATGTGAATTTTTTTCATAAGTACAGGGCAAAATTGAATACTAGATGCTGATTGGCTAATAAAGAAGGGCTTTTTTCTGTAATTCAGGGCTGAATTACTAGAAAATGAAATCTCGAAGTATTATTATTGTCCAAAGTTTTGATAGAAAAGAGCACAGTGTAGTGAAGAAACTAATTTTAACTCTGAATGAAATTCTTTGGAACCATCCATTTAATATAATAGTTCAGGATGATTTACATGCAAGCCAGGGCTCTACATATTGTTTTCTTAAAGTCAAGGGTTTTTTCGTTGAATTTTGCCGGGTATATGATAAACGGGTAATCATATGGTTTAGTGTTTTTGAAGCTTTGAAATTGCCCTTTTTCGCTTTGTGACATAAACAAAGTATGGTTTTTTGTGAAATTGAGGATTAATTTCCCTTTTTCTTATTAGTTCATGCATGAAATAAATCTTTGATTATACTCCGCCCCTGTACAATTTCCTATACTAATGCAATGAGAGCTATTTTAGCTTTTGCAAGTTTATCAGACATATTGCTACTCTTTCTAAAGAAAAGTTGTCAGTGTTTCAATAAAAAGGATAATATTAGTGTATAACAGTTCTGAATTTTCTGTCACCAACATCAATTATTTTC